ATTCTAGTAGGATAAAATGTTAAAAAATGGCGACTAGCTCTGAATGGCACATGAAAGTCTAAATTCATGAGTAAATTTTCAGTATTAACAGTACCATGCACTACCTCGTTGATAGCCTTTCGAGGCTAAATAAAGACAGCAACAAATCGTAACTAAAAAACCGTTTCCGACCAATGTATCGGTCATCAATAATTCGCATAAACCTCTTCTGCACACGCTTAATGATTGCAACTTGTGGTAAAGATACTGAATTCCAACTAATCGAACCAAATTCAAGTCCTGAGCGTACAAGGCTACAAAATAAACGCACTACAGATAATGGTGAAGTAAAAGAACTCGATAAACGTGTGATCATTCCCAACTTTCTTATCGCTGATCCAACGATCTTAGAAACGTGCGCAGTGAATGATAGAGTACTATCAATATACACGCCAAGGTCTCTTACCAGAGATACACGATCAATCACATTCCCCTCGAGCACATAAGGGTAAAAGAAAACGTCCCGCTTTCTCGATAAAGAAATCACTTTAGTTTTTTCAGGATTTAGCGACATAGCATTTTTTTCACACCACTTTGAAATTGCACCAATATCAGTTTGCAATAGAGTACAATCAGTATGGTCTTTAATATTTAAAAAGAGTTTTATGTCGTCAGCAAAAAGAAGGACGTTTGAATGATTGACGCATGATACTATATCGTTTACAAACAAAATAAACAACAGTGGTTCCAAGTTCGAACCTTGGGGTACACCAGAAGTTGATGTAAAACACTTCGAAACAGAGTTGCCAACACGAACAGTATTACTGCGTAAATTCAGGTAGCTCCTGAACCATTCACAAAGCTTTGGGCACATGCCATAAAAAGAAAGTTTGCAGAGGAGTAAAGTATGATCTACACGGTCGAAAGCCTTCGACGTGTCAAAATACACGGCATCAATTTGGCCTCGGTTTGTGACTATCGGCACAGAGAAATCTAGAAAAGAGCACAAATTTGTTTCAACGGACTTTCCCTTTAAAAAAAAACATGCTGAAAAGGACTAATTTTTTGACTGAGGTAATTTGAGATCCGGTTATGCATAACCATTTCGAAAACCTTCGCAAAACCGCACAATAACGAAACGGGACGATAGTTACTAACTAATGACGGATCACCAGCTTTGAATATGGGCACAACTATAAAAGACTTCCACAAACTAGGGAAAGTACCCTCCCTTCATGAGAGATAGGTTAAATATATGTTCCAAAATGAGAGCAAATATATCGGAACAAGCCTTAATAATAAAATTGGGTATACCGTCAATTCCCGTTGAGAACTTAGGTTTTAATTTTTTTATCGCCTCAAGAACTTCTGAGACATCGACAGTAAAAGCAGATAAAAAGTCTGTGTTGTTAATATTGTCTGATGCCACCGGCAGTTCTAAAACTAGAATAGCAGCGACTAAAGTAATCAGAAAAACGATTAGCTATGTCAATTGGCGAGGAAAAATAGCCAGTTGATTCACGTAAGCATAAGTTTTGTGCATTGTCGCGCAGGGTGGTTTTTAGCATAGCGCCAGAATGTCCGAGGTTTTCTCTGGTTAAGCTCTTTTCAACATTCGACGAGTGCAGTAGCTTATCCTTTTTGTAGACTTTTTTTCACCAAAGCACGGTAAACACTGAATTTATCGTACCAGACGGTTAGCCCTGTTTTCTTATACATTCGATTACAGTGAGACTTGTTACGAAAGAGGCGTTTTAGCTCTCTAGAGAACCAGCTGGGATACTTAGGTTTATGTGCTTGCTGTTTCGGAATAAAAACGCTCATCGCAGTAGACACTACCGTTGTCAATTTTGTAGTGGCTGATTCAGCATTTTGATCCGATAAAACATCAGACCAATTATGCTGAACAAGACTATCGTAGAAACCGCCATAGTCTCCATTTCGGTAACAAAACGACAACAACTGATGATTTGCACGGGGCCTACATGACAAACAAAACTGAACTACAAAAGGAGGATGATATGCATCGACAGGCACCAAAGGTATAACAGCCGAAACAAGATACTCTATGGGTGCATTTGATAAGCATAAATCAAGCACGTTATCAGCAGTATTTTTGCAAAAGTTAAACTGCGTAAACCCACAGAAATTTGAAAAAGAAAGTAACCATTCCTCTTTTCTAGAAGTAACACTATTTATATGCGATACCGCTCCAGTCGACCAATCAAGACCAGGAAGGTTAAAATCTCCATATATTTGTACTTTGTATTTAGAAAAGTCAACAGTATTACAGAGGGTCTCAAAATGGTCAATAAACGCAACGTCATCAAAAAGTGGAGGGAAATAATAGTTTCCTATTAATTACGATCTATACATACTTGGCATTTATACTTGGATCATGGAAAGACTCCCGCAAGCTATATACTCTACTGTTTGTATTATTCTATTACACTCCCTGCCTTATAGTATACTAGAAATATGTCAAGTATACTTTTATTACGCTCTTTTTCGCTAAGGAGGGAGAGGCCCGTGTTAAATCGTCACGAGCTACGTTGAAGATGTGTTACTCCTGAGCATCCGTACCGACCCACACGCAATGGACGAAAAGAAGCTACGAATTCTTATGCACGGGGTGAAGAATGATATTTTTGGGGGCCTCGTGCGTAACCCGGCAAGAACCGTCGAAGCCTTCGTCACTGAGGCAACGAACATCAAGCGTGCCCTACAAGCGCGCGCCTCCCACAACCAGCGACTTCCCGCCGTCGCTGCCCTCTCGCCCTCCAGCTGCCAGACCCCGGACATCCGCGAGATCATCCGGGACGTCGTCCGGGAAAAGCTAAAGAAACTCCTACCTGCTGCCGCGATCCCAGCTTCGCCCTCAATCGCCGAAATTCTCAGGGAAGAGGTTTACAAAGCGCTCCCGCCGGAGGTTCAGGTCAACGTGGCTCCAGAACCACCGGCCCTAGGCTGTGCAGCCGTACCTCGTCACTCGTCTTCTAGGTAGCACTCCGGGGCACCCCGACAAGAGGCCACTTCGCCACAGTACACTCCTCACGAGGAGCAACGAGGGCTTCAAAAGATCGATGTGTGGAGTGCTGCAGACCTGCGCCCCAATGTGCTTCCACTGTGGTGAGGCTGGCCATGTCTATCGCCGTTGCTACTATTGCCAGTTTGGGCTCCGATGTTTTCAGCCGACCGACCCAAGCCCAAGGTACGGCGAGCCTCGACGCATCGGCACTCGTGGACACCGGTGCGGATTACTCCGTATTAAGTGGGACATTCTCTCAACGACTACGGAAAGTGACGACGCCATGTGACGGACCTCAGGTAGGAACCTCCAGAGGACACCTCATCACGCCTGTTGAAAGGTGCACTGCTCGCGTCGAAATTCACGGGGAGACCTGTCCAGTCAAGTTCGTCGTCTTTCAGGACTGTACGAGAGACGGCATCCTTGGCATGGACTTCCTGTGTGAATATGGTGCCGTGATCGACCCTGGAGCAAACATCCTGACGCTGCGAAAGCCCGTCCTACCTCCGGAGGGATCCAAAATGACGCCAGCTGCCGTCCAAGTCATTGATGATCACGCGAACCTGCCGCCGTGGTCGAGTGTTCTTGTGCCCGTCGTGACCGATCCAGCCACCTGCGGAGAAGTTCTTCTGGAGGGCAGCGTTCAACTCCTCCTAAAGAAGTCGACTTGGCGTTGAACGAGGCATTGCGGGTTTTTAAGAAGGACGTGCAACTGTTCTTATGACGAAAGTTCGACAGGAGCCGCAGCACCTAACGAAGGGTACCGCCGTGGGTTACGTCGAGCAACTTAAAGCGTCAACCGCCATTACCGCAATCTCCGAGGAACCTTCGCCGTCACAGTCCAACAGCCCGCGCCTTCGCAGCTCGACGTCGACCTCGAGCTGCCCGATTCAGAACGGCGACGGGCAGTTGAACTTCTCAGCGAGTTCACCGAGTGCTTCGCGACGTCATCAAGGGTGCGACAAATGACGGTAGCAAAGCATGGCGTCGTTACTAACAATGACGCACTGCATAATCACCAGTCGCCGTACCGGGTCTCTTTAAAAGAAAGGGAGGTGATACAAGAACAGGACCACGAGATGCTCGGCGACGACATTATCCAACCTTTAAGTAGTTCATGGGCGTCCCCAGTTGTCCTTCTAAAGAAGAGAGACGGAACAATGCGGTTCTGCGTGGACTACCGTCGACTAAATGCTGTGACGAATAAAGATGTCTACCCGCTTCCCCGAATCGACGTCGCCCTAGATCTGCCGCGCCACGCCCGACATTTTTCGTCAATGAACTTGAAGAGAGACCGGCAGATGGAAGTCGACGAACGAGATCGCGAGAAGACAGCCGTCGTAACGTCGGACGGACTGTACGAATTTGTAATAATGCTCTTCGGACTATTCGCAGCAGCGGCAACACTTCAGTGCGTTATAAATACCGTGCTGGCAGGCCTTGAATAGCAAAGCTGTCTCGTCTACCTCGACTACGTCGTGGTATTGCAAAGCGACTTTGACGAACACTTGAGGCGACTTCGGGCCGTGCTTCAAGCCAAGAACGCCGGCCTGACACTCAAACCGACAAAGTGCCGGTTCGCCTTTGCTCAACTGAAGTTTCTAGGCCATGTCGTTAGTAGTGAAGGTGCACGGCCTGACCCTGCGAAGATATCTGCTGTAGACAACCCGCGCTGAATGTCCTCTTTCAACATTCTTCACACGAAGCTATCCCGAAGTGACTCGTTCAATGCGGTTCAAAAATCGCACGTCTTCGACAGGTTCCGAAGCTCAACGACGTAGTCGGATCTTCACTCGCACTCACGCTCTGCACGTCGATGGAACTTCGCTCGCTCACCGATGATGAACGGCTTCGGACACAATTGGTCGTTCAAGATATTTGTTAGGATCTCGAAGCTCTTAGTCGAAGGCAGCTCTGGGGCCGTTAAAGACTTCAGTAGCCCGCAAGTCTTCGGCCCGATTATATTGAGGAAAGCATGAACCTTGTCGCTCACCTGAACTCGGTTGACGATCACGATCAAGAACAAAGTTAACCTCTTTTCATACGAAGCAGAGTCGCTAGCGGACACGTCGAACGGTTCCAGCTGGCCCCTTCGCCTGGCGAAATACGTCACCGCTGTCTCGTCTCCTGGCATGACAGAGGTCACTGCAGCGTCAGCACTGTTCGACAGCTTGAACAGAGGCTGAATTTGGGAAACACTTGCCGTCATGGCCGACGCAGGATGGCTTCTTGGTCCAATCTTCGTCGCCAGTTGTTGAGTACTGGCGTTGGTGATGAACGAGGCAGGTTTCCATGAGACAACTACGTATATTAGATCATGCTTATGGATTGGTGGTCACGACGAGACGTGCGCGCAAGAGACTGCGGAGCGCACTTTTTTTTAGTTCTTAGCGCATACGGACTAACCGAGCTGCAGTTATTGGTGCCGCCATGCCGGACACGAAATGTATTATAACAATAGAGCTCCGTAAAATTATAACTAGTATGAAGTGGTGAAGGAAGTTTGGAAGGGAGGTATGGTGCCGGTTTGGCTTACAAAAATGCGGTCGTGTGTTTGAGATTTGATATCCAAGCAATATTAGAACTAAAGCAACGCATTATGGGCAGGCTGATGTTGGTAGCGCATAGTAGAACATCAAATGTCGGGATACAAGGTGATATGGGATTTTTGTCGTTTAAGGGCAGGGTAGCTAGTGGTAAGAAATAATTTGGAGAGACTAAAAAAAATAAACATTGAACGACGGGCATGAATTCTTTCTAGCTATTTGTACATGAAGGGCGTTGATACAAAGTACAACGGCGAACAAGCCCATTAGTATGGGACTGGCTTGGCTGCTCGACCGAGCAGGTTAAGAAGCGTAGTGTCTCCCTTTCGCGTCATCAGGTGCGTCTAGTCTGGAGGTCTACCACTGCCTGCTAGTCGTGGGAGCAGACGAGCAGCAGCCAGCGGCATCGCCTGCTATTTCACCACCGTCTATCGTCGTCTGCAATGCCGTGAGACGCAGACACGTAAGCTGCACGTCGGTGTCCATTTTCGCCTTGTCCGCCTGCTATTCATCCGCCGTCTAAAACCTTCTGCGACGCTCAGAAGAGACGACCATGGGAGCGGCGTTCTAGCTTTCCTTCGTGCACGAACCACGGTCCAACACACGCGTCTGTCAGCGTCTATCGATGTGCGACAATAAGCGGCCGTGAGGACTAAATAACTCAATAAAATAAACATGTCCTTGCAGCTTTACTGTTCTTGTTACTCTTTTTTCACGTGGCATCCGCGACCAACGTGGCTGAGCGTAATGACGCGCAGTTCAATCCCGACGTAAAAATGTTTACTTTTGTGGCCCAGGTGCACTGGAGAACTTTAAAGCTTGTCGTCGAGGCGTAATGACAGGAACATAAACAGACATAAGTGATGCGAGCCGAACGCCCGATTGACTCCAACCGAATGGCTCGCAAATTCTTACCTATGTAGGAGCCTTCTTAATATTGAAACCATGGTCGACATACCGACGGTTGCACAATTCAAAGAGCAGCGGGGCCGCTTTTGCGGGAACCAACATCTTCATTCAGCATCAACACGCGCAAAGAAAGATATCAAGCCAGAACGGTCTGAAAAACTGATCTGGGACGCTAGGCGCAGGCCAGTCCCGAAAGCGCGTACTTGGGGCAGTTGTTTTTTGCAAACTACTTCGGTTGAGAAAATTCTCCTCTAAGCGCCCTTTGTGAACTCAAAACCGCCCGCACTTATAGAAATTGACGAAGTCAACGAGCCACGCTCATTTATCACTCTGCAGACGCCGGGAGCCGTGTTTGTTAATAGTAATAGTAATAGTAATATTTATTCACAGGAAATATATACAAAAACAGTGATCTGGCCCACAAAAGCAGGGGTGTGCTTGTGTGTGGGGCCAGGCAAACGACGGAACGCATCGACATGAGGAAATCGGAATCAAATTGCACAACAGAAAAAAGGCACTTAGAAGTTATGCAGTTAGACATATTACAATTAATTCATTAAAGAATGACACCAGGTTTTAAGTTTGAATTTTATTTTTTTTAAGGATGTCATAGCTATTAAAAATTGAGGAAGTCTATTAAATATTGTTGGAATATAATGATTTCTTGTTCTTTTTCCGTAGTGGGTGTATACTTTCGGGACAACATATCTTTCTGTATGTCTTAAGACTCTGGTTTTGGCCACTTTATTCTTAAAAGTCTTATTAAAAAAGTTTTGCGTGATTGTAGCAAAGATATGAAATTTTTCAAAAAATAAAATACCCAGCTTTGCCACCTTTTCCTCCATTTCTAATGTTTCGTACCCAGTTCCATAGGTGATATGGTTCACAATCTGTTTTAATACCCGATCTATCGCAGTCATTTTAGAACGAGAACAATGACCATATACAGTGATACCGTAACGCAACGTTGATTCTACTAGTGATGTTAAGTAATGTTTCACACCAAAGCGGGAGAAGCAATCTCAGAATATATTTGGAAAGAAATTGTGACTTTATCTTCATTTTTTGCTTATTAAACATGAAAGATTGCGATTAAAATACTATTACGGCACAGAGATGCCTATTTACAGCCTGTGTCTCCTCAGCCGATGAGAGATGTAAGTACCTTGTAAGCACGGTACGGGGCTTAGCGGTCTGTGACATCCTCCTCGAGCACCGAAATTGCGCCTAACGGTGTAAATACTGCGTGAAAAAAATTTTGTTCGTATAAAAAAAGATATTAAAAAAAATTCGTGTTTCATATTCATGCTTTTATAAATCATATTTTTTCTTCCACCGTTCATTTAAGAAGAGCGTTAGAGCAGAAGAGAGGGAAATATGAGAGGTGGTGATGCCGACTTAAACGGATCTCTAGACTTATAAAAGATGTAAGGTAAGTATTGCTAGATCAGGTATATATGGCAATTTTATGAGAAGCTCGTTGTTTGAGGCGAGGACGATGTGTTGCAAGCTGAACGTTACAGAGCGAAATATCAGGGCAAATGTAGTACAGCATGTAGGGAGGAAAAGGAGAGGGATGAGCACTTATTGCTTTATTTCAAACGGCGTCGCCCAAGCGGAAAAATCAGGCACTGGTTACGTGATTAAGTAATTTATTGGCTCATCACAAGTGCGCACACGGCAGCGTGCCAGGCAAAGCAGATAGGTAAGACCCCTCATGCCAGAGCGCCTGTTAGCCTGATGCCGTGTGTGCTGCAAGTCCGAAGAAACCCACCCTAGAACAAAACTGATATTGCCGCGCGCGCAGCTGGCCAAGTAGGAAGCGCGCGCGTGGCCTAACGGGTATTCTGCCTGCCTCCCACGCGAAAAGTCAGGGTTCGATTCCTGGGAGCGACGCGCCTTTTATTTAAATATTGTAGGAATTTAGTTTTCTGGTAAATTTGAGAATCCTCTTGGCTACTTCGCGGCCCGAATGTTCTACGCGCCGAACGTTCCAGGCCGAATGTTCCGGAAACCCACGCGGCTACAAAAGGCGCTCCGCGTGGCAAGCCGAAGTCAGTCTCGCCCCAGCGCTGGATCCTGCGCTTTCGCCGACATCGACGACCGCGGCGCTCTGCTTTTTCCTCTGTTCCTTTTTTTTTTTTTGGGGGGGGGGGTGGGGGGGCTCAAGTTTGCTTCATTAAACGTTTAGTTTCTTCGGCTATCATCGCCTCATCAATTGTCATTCGTGACAATATAATGATGCTGGGTATGATAAGAGAGGGGAAGGGTAAAGAGTAGGGATGGGTGTAGTTTGGGATCATGTCAACATGTTCGATGACACTTGTTCGATGACGGCAAAAAACTACAGATCTTTTGCGGAGAGTCGGAGACATGGCCGTGTACGGTAAAACAGGATCGTAGGGATGACGACCGTAGGAAGCGGATGTAGTTACACAAGACGTTTTGTTCGGTCTTATCCCGTTTGGCAATACCACGCAAGTATTGTTTATGAGAGATATAAGATGGTTTTAGTAGATGATTCCAATACCTCCGATACTCCCAATAACTATACCCGACAGCGACAAGATATGTGCGGAAAGGCGGCGGCGGAATATGGGGTTGTTTATCGGAGTCATAGGAACGATCTACTAAGCCTCTCCATTTATAGCAGCCTTCAGTGACCGCTGATGTTTCTTTGCAAGTAGTAAAATGGCAAGGCATTGCTATCGGCGTGCCCGATGAAAGAGTGATCGCTTAATCCGCGCCGCTTTTACGATGCCAGCCGTGATCGATGGCGAGTGCTTCCGTCTCAATGATCCGAGGGAGCAAGGAACACACGCTTTTTATATGACGAATAAAAAGTCACACCCGAAATCGTAGTTAGATGACCAGTCGGAACCTGTGGTGGTCATCTATTCCAAGATGGCGCTGGACAAGGACGTGTGTGCCGATTGCTCCAAGAAACGTTCCGGTAGGCAGCATTTCCTTGAATTTTGTGGTGATTGTGGCCAGCGGTTTCATTGCAAATGTATAAATGTAACCGCAGACGAATACGACTTACTCATGGCTAGCGGCCGAAGTAAATACAAATGCAAGTCTTGCACCCGACGGCGAAATTCGATAACCGAAACGGCCCCCTCTTCGGAAGAAGCCGACGGAGCCAATGAAACATCGAGGGTTTTCGACGCTGAGAAGGAAAACAAACTTATCAGCATTATGGAACTGCTACTCGCAAAAGTGGACACCCTAGCAGCGGCGGTGTCATCTCAGGGGCAAGTGATCGCTGCGCTACGTGAACAAAACGAAGAACTTGGAGCCGACGCGGGCAAAGCGCTAGACGCCGTAAACCAACTGAGGGCTGTGATGGAAAAAACCTCCCACGTGCCTCAAGGAACACAGCCGTCTACTTTCGCCAGCGTTGTGCTGGAACCTTCAAGAGTGGATAGGACAACCAGCGCCGTCCAACAGATTGAATCGTCACGAAACGGTCGAGGACAGCTGTGAACCTCAAAGCTGCGACGCCCCACGTCAAGGAAAATCAGCGGAGCGATGTCAACCAAGCGACGACAGATGAACCCGACGACGGTTTCACAGTCGTTTCGCGGAAGAAAAGTTCAATGAGAGCTGGCAAATGCGAGTCTTCGGTCATTACGAGCGCTCTTCGCCCCCGAAAGTCTTTGTTCGTGACTCGCCTTCACCCGGACACAACATCGGAAAGTGTTTGTGAACACTTTCCGATGTTCGATGGCTATGTTCGACAAATGTTTCGTTT